TATAACAAATAATATGAGACACGACCCATTGTCTATATTAGAACACTTCTCATTGGGTAACAAAGTCGTAATTTTTCATTTTTGTCGTGTCTATAGTGTGGTTATGTATGGTTTAGGTTTTTTTAAAATAAAGTTTCAAAAATGTCTATGTATGTGGAAAATGTAGTTGATTACCAAAGGTTACAATTTTTTATTTTGACTAGACTCAGGTCTAGGAAGTGTACATTTTTTTATGGGGCAAGTTTCCAAGGGCGGGTTTTCTAGGGGCGAGTTGACTGCCAAAGAGTGTTGCCAAAGTGTGAGCCAGCGTGTTATTTGATCACAAGTGCGAGACATCGCAAGTGTGAGCCAGCGAGCCATGACGTCACAACAATAGATACGACTACGAGATGTTATTCGAGTTGATCGAGGTATCGGCTGAGATTTGTGGAGTACAATTTAAAAAACAACTATAGGTCTAATAATGAATTATTGTGATGTTAAATAAACAATGTTCTCAAGGAGCGACGTTGTTTTTCATTGGGACCTTCGTCCCTTCAAGGTTAGGCCTATATACCATCCCAGCTAGCTAGTCTAGGCCTAGAGTAGGATAAGGCTAGTGCGGCATGCTGACGTTGGTACGTGTTGGTTAGTCTACAAACATAGCATAAAGTAATTGATTTTACCCAGCAGAACGAAAGAAGGAAACTCCACTTTTCAGTCGTCTTAGGCCCTTGATTTTTGACAAACAATGACCTTTCAGAGGTCAAATTGCTGTCAAGAATATGAATTGGCTGCTTCGCAGCAATAAGCATTCAACCATATTTTGTTATACAAGTTGTTCAGAGAAACTATCACTATTAAGTCTGTAAATGATGCATGCTATGTTGTCATAGAAATGGAAAATAATGAAACATGAAAGGATGCGGATATTCCATTGTGAATTACTCCTGTATAAGCCTGATATATTTCTTAGCAAAAAAAACATAAACATTTCCTCATACATGTCATTTACCTCACCAACAAAGAATACTGTAAAAATACTTAAGACCGAGGAGCAAATATGTTTTGGCATTCAACAAAAAAACATTCAATTGCCACTAAGACGATGCCAACATGTAAAAAAAAATGTAACCATTTATATCTGCCCGCAAGATAATTCCCTGTGCTACTATACCCATTCAATATTTAACCCCTCATGGGTAAGGATCATAGGAGCACGAGACAAATTGCCTTGCATAAGGATAAACATATGCACCAACCTCAAACCCACAATCAGAAGCCCAAAGATATTTACCAACTATGGGCCCATTCGAGCGAAAAAATATCTGTGTGATTTACCAGTTAATTCACCGGTACACACTTTCTAAAACCGCTTGGACACTAGTCTAATTACCTCACCATCTGGATTATCCGCGACAATTTTGCCAACAAATTGCTGGGTAGAATACCATGTATGGAATGACCATGGAGTCGGAGGCGATGATAAATCAACATTAATTGTTTTTCCAAATGTTTTGTCCACAGCCCAGCACAAAATTCAATAGGTTACGGCCCAGACGTGATTGCAGCTCTCCTTCGCCTCCTCGCACATGCACGACGAAATCTAAATTTAGTAGCATAGCTATGCGATCGATTTGTAGATTTACTATTATTTGGAGAAATGAACTTGAATAAACTAGTCTACGTACAGATTTTAAAGCAGCCATTATAAGTTATTGAGCTACATTAGGTGAGTCGAATGGCCGAGCGGTTAGCAGGGGCGCCGCAAGCTATAGCCATAATATCGGGGCTGGTTCGAACGGCACGCTCGCCTATGGTTCTGGTGGTAGAACAAGTCTTCTCGGATAAGGACTATAAACCGTAGGCCCAGTGTATACAATGGCTCGTGTGCACTATAAAGAACTCAGTACATCCTTNGACCCTTAGGGGCGAAGAAAGTCATTGATCGAGTTCCTAGTCCACATTTCAAGCGCCCTGAGCATCTTACATTAGATGGATTTGTGCGCTATATAAAACTACACTATTATTATTATTATTATTATTATCGTTCCACCGTGCCGCACTGTGTGTACGTGGGCCGGTTATAGCAAGGAGGTAGCAAGTAAACAAACAATGGGTTGTTGACCATGGGATAAGTTGAAATTTACTTCCGAAGTAGTTTCGTTACACATATTTACCGTGAGCTAAAACTTGCTCGAACGGTCGACCACCCGCTGAGTGCTCAGCGCGATTACCAGATGAAATAAAAGGAATACAGTTGGCGTTTTTTGCTCGAACAGACCCTTTGTCATTATATTACCAGGGTACATACTTTTTTTCCTTATCCTAAACCCTGTAATGTGTACATAGTTTATATTGTTTATATGTTTCTTATTTTATTGTTTATATTGTATCTTTAACTTGGCACGTACACCACATTGTGTAGAATTTACCATCTGTTCTATAAATAAATAGTAGATCATTTTATAGTTGTACTTCATTTAGAATCAGAATATATTTGGTGTTTTTTGGTAATCTGTTGGGACTCACTGAGTCATAGGGCCAATTGCTTCTTTAGAACCAAGGGCCCTTATGTCAAAAAAATAAATGAAAAGGAAAAGAATGTATATTCAACAAACTTATAAACTAATCATGTTTTTCTAGATGCATAGTCATACACAATATAGTACATGTTTGTTATCAAAATAAAACTGAATGAAGATTCTGAAGAAAAAAAATTGTCAATCAGAAACCACTCTCACCACTACACAAATAATTTGCACTAAGTAAATATGAAGTACATTCACACCGAACATACTAGACAAACATATGTTCGCACTATATACTTACTGTATTGTAAGTCTATAATTCAATTGAAGAGCCATATTCTCATCAAAATAGCCAGAAATATTTAGACTTATATATATATATAAAAAACAATTATTAACAATATCATGCATACACATGTACAGCACTGTGACATTTTGGCGCATACATATACTGAACCATGAACTTACTTTATAAAACAGTATTTACTAACAGTATACATAATCAACAAACAACAATAACAAACAACCCTGATGATGATTTCATCTGGTTTTAATAATATTATAGGTAACATTAACAATATATCTCATTTCATAGAATCAAGGACCAGTTAAAAACCATTGATAAAACAGAGCCAAAAAATTTACTTGCACATCAAAATAAAACTTTAAACGTAATATTACTTTCTGATCTTATCATAACAAAGTAAAATAACAAATAATACATTAAATAGGACAAGGTTGAAGGTTTACATAAAAGGGGAATTCCCCCGCTCTTCACACTTGTATTTCTTACAGCATAAATTTTTATGTTATGCTTCCTGTTATGAGATCCAACTGACAACTAAAACACCAAGTATTTGGTCTCATGGTTCATCATATATTGAATACATTTCATTAGCATAAAAATGTTAAATTTTTGTAGTTCAGAACATCAGTTGGCACCAATGACCATACACAGACATCTTGAATCCAACTCAGGAAAAATTCTGTTTGATTTGATTTTAACTTTGAACAAATACTCCACAATTCCATATTCAGGGAACATACAAAGGAGTTTGAACAAAAACTTAAGAGGTCTCAGGGTTTAAAAAACTGAATTGGTAGACATACATATTGGGTCCAACTGACAAATTACAAATGTTGCTATAATCCAGGAATTCAGAGATGACATAGCAGTACTTTAGCGTAATTGGTTGTAATCAGCCATCGAGTCCGCCAGTGACAGTTAATGAATGTTTTGATATGAACCAGGAATTCATGACTCAGGAGTTCAGTACATTTTTTAAAAGAAATCCACAATGAGTCCGACTAACAATCGGTGAATGTTGACGAAAACCAGTAATTTGGAGGCAACATTGTATTCTAGCTTATTCAGATGTAGGTACCCACATTGAATCCAACTTACGAGCATTTACAAAAGGTTATTCTGGATTCTTAAAAAAATTACTGCTGTATCTCTTACGAATCAGGTCTTGTTGTACAATAGCGTTTTCTATAAAATTTAGTTTCAGCAGTACAGAAGCTAAAGTGTTTGATCCGATATTTGAGTAAAGTTTCCTCTAGTTTCCACATGATAGGAAAACAAATAGGCTTACTTTTATAATATCAAAAGTAAAAGAATGGGCTCCATAAACAAAAGGGTGATGGTAAATAAAAGAAAATATTTAACAAAACACTTACCTTCATCATTACTGTTTACTGTCACAGTGTATAAATCTGGTCGTGGCGTCTCCCGTTGCATCCTGGTATTTTCCGGTGGTTTTGTATCTTTATTTTGTGCTCTAAGAAATAATCCTTTGAGATTTTTCATTGGCAGTGTGCTGCCAAGTTCAGCTAAATTCGGTACGGATCGCGAACGGCGCCTTGAAAAATATTCATCATCTCTTGTTGCCGAGTTCTCTCTCCGCACAACATTTAACATGTCAAAGTCGAAGTCATCTGAAAAATGAAAGAAAATATTTTTTTATGATATCCTTTGTTTGCTTTTACTTTCTGTGAAAAAAAAAATTCATAAAGCAGTAATAAATAATCAGATATTATAAAATGTCTGTTATTTTTCTTACAAAACCAATCATAACATATGGCTTGTAAAAGAAACAAATTACTTTTAAGCAACAATAGAATTTAAGTGTCAAGATGTTACCTCTTAGGCTACTACTACAGTATATTCTCCCATAAGGCCTATGTTCTATATATAATGATGTTTAGGAAGTGAAGCTGTATTAGCTGTGAGAAAAAAAATCCTGGTATATCACATAGGATTTGAGGCTAGAATCTCTAATCAAGATACATGGGTATATTAAGGAGATTTTGCAAACCCTACGAAAACATCATTATCATTATCGTCATTCGAGCCCAAATCATTCTTGACGATGTGCTATATGAGCTGAATATGATCCTTGATTCATGCAAAAAGGGGCAGAGGGAGGGGGCATGAATCGCCTATGTTGTGAAAGATATGTTACAGTAGGGCAAGGGTTGTCTAAAAATTTGATGTTGTAACCGTACTCGTTATCGTTTTCGTAAGCTTGCGAAAACTCCCTAATACCATAAGGGGTAAAAGTGAAATCCACTTGCTGCAGAATTTTATGGTTTAGGATATAATAACTCTGGATCGGTAATCATTTTTAATCTGATGACATCAAGTTGCATCTGATGATAAGGGATTCATACATGTCATAACGCAGAACATAAATTTCCTCCATTCCCAATCTGGGCACCACCACTACTATACCGAGAAAGAAGCTAATCATATTGGAAACACTTTGATAATACATGGGTCAGAGTTTTTCTTGTCAAGCAATAATAGAATCAGTCCTATCAGGAAATAGAATTTTTGCCTATTGATTCTATTACTTCATATGCCTAAATGTACAAAATTCAGTTTTTCATCTACTAAGTCTGTTTACACTATGAGGATTTCTGAGACAAATATCTGTAATTAGCC